GGAAGAGGAAGATGCGCAGGAGGAGGCAAGGGAAAATACCAGATGCGAGTTTCTTATTTTATTATGCCTTTCAGAGACAATCAAGTTCTCAACATATGAGTAGTTGAAGCTTCTAGAGATAGGAAATTACATTGCTTGCTCTTATACTATACCACAAGAGTAATATAGGATATTCTATGCCACATAAATTATTACTACAGAAGGAGGTGGAGTAGCAGTGTTTGGTCTAGGCATTGGAAGAAATGGCCCTTCAAGAAGAGCATATAGGTCAAGTAGCTTTCTTGCGATGTTGCTCAAGTGAATATGAGAGCTCTCTTGCAGGCATAGGCTTCTAGGAAGCTGAAAGAGGAGCTTGTTCACCTTTGAGAGAATCTTGAAATCGGAGACTGCAAAAGAGGCCCAACAAAAGGATTTATTTGAAGAAGCCTTTTGCAGAATGATTGCCAAAGAATAACCAATCATTCATTGCATCGTCCTCCCCCAAGAAAATCATCATAGTGGTGGTAGCTACATTGTATGAGGAATCTGACATGTTTTAAGGGAGCATGGTCTCTACTTGGGTTGGATTTCATCACCTTTTTAGCAAAGATAGGAACCTCCTTCCCTGGGAGGTGTTAGTGGCTTTTTTCTATGAGGCTTTCTTATTTTAAGGGTCACTTAAGAGATGCTCGATTATTGCATTTGTAGGACTTATTTCAACTATTTCGGTATTTTTATGCATAAAGTTGCATGTATACATATTTTTCCGTTTTCTTTTCTCTTTAACGATTGAATTTTTTATCTGAACATATCGTTTGATCTATGGCATTTGCACATGGGCATCAACCCCTATGGGCGTTGTGATTTTTCTTGTGGTTGAATCGGCAGAAAATTTTCACAGTTCAGTATGGAATCAATGTTGTTAGTTGTCTGGACTTGGACTGATTGCAGTGAGCTTTGAACCAATTTGTAGAATAGAAAATTGTTTCCAAGTTCAGACAACTAAACTATTTTCTATTCTACCAAATGGACAAATTATGAACTAATTTTTAGAATAGCAATTGCTTTTCCTCATCATTTTTTTTTATTGCAATGAGTTTGAATTGATTTTACTTTATCATTTCTTTTAGGGTACTCTTAGCCTTAAAACTGGTTTTTAGGTTGAACTGCTGCTTATTTGAAGTTGTTCTTGTAGTTAACCAATGATTATCTTTTGACATTGTTATTTTAATCACTTTGTAATGATGAAGAATGTTTTTCTACTCAAAATATTTTCTGATTTGGCATTTCAATAATATTGCAACAGTTGATTGACATGACCCTTCTCAAAGTATTGGACTTTTTTTCTTTTAACTAAGCCCCAAGACTTTGAAAATCTTTTTGTTTTCTCGTTTGAAACTTCACTAACACTTTTTCTTGGACCTTGGAGCTCTCCTTCTTGAAATGCATTTTGAACACTTCCCTTAATTTATAATGGCAACAACTTTAAATAATAGTTATGAGCCTTTCAATTGTTTTGAGTTCTCCCAGGCTTCTTTTATCTTTTGAATACAATTAATATTCTTAAAAGCTTGTGTGGGACCAAATATTTAAAATTTCATCCTTCGAGTTGCAAATAAAGGTGAAATCGCCAACACTTTTCCATGATAGTGAATTATGATTTCTCGAGACCAATTTAAACTTGGCCTCTGATTAATCGTTTGTAAGGAAATTATATATATTGTTAACTTTGGAGTCATTCTTGTTCAAATCATCTAGAATTTGTTTGCTGAGTATAATCTTGTTGGTAATCTATATGAGAGAGAGGAAAAGCCTCTAAAGCATGGCTTCTTTAGGTATGTGTTTCTATAAAAGCCTTCAAAGTTGAACTTATTGTTTATTCTATTCAGTTATGCATGCATGATTTACTCATGTTGCTGCACTAAGTCATAAGTGACAATTATGTGGAATTTATAAGAAATTAGCGGAACTGAATCCATTCTAGGCAAGCAAAGAGTAACTTGTTAACTCTGTAAAATGTTGGTGGACAAGTGTCTGTGGATGTTGTTGCTTCTCTGAATGAAAGTTTATCCTAGAAAAAGGCATCTTTGGGCATGTAGACTGCACTTATCGAACAAACTTGTTGTGCCTTGGTGTTTCAATCGAAAGCAAGTTGACTTGAAGAGGAGATTTAAATTTTGCGTGAAGAAAATGCTTAATGGGAGAAATCATGTAAGGCCTTTGAATCTGCAAATGAAAATATTCACTTTCATTTGAATGTTGATGTCCTGATTATATTTATGAAGTTTAGGGAATATTTGGAGATATTCTTCTCAACATATGAACATGAAATACAATTCTACTTGGAAAAACTTGTGATTCTAAATACCTTGAGCCTAGCATTATGAACTCTATAAATTTTTTTATTCTTGTGATAGACACCAAGTCCTCTGAAGCTGATTTTAGTGAAGGCAATGAGAGTAGTAGCGCATATTGAAATTGACTATAGAATTGTTTTTTGATATTTTTTTCCTTTTCCAAGAAACAATCGTTTTAAGCAAAAAATTGTAAAATTTTTTTTCTTGACAATGCTATTTTCCTTGCTTTGAATGGTTTTAATTTTGTTATTAACTATTCATCGATCTAATGAATCGAGTATATATTCTCTAGAGATTAAGTCTTAGAGCACTCCTTTGATTAGAAAGTATTTGAGTATCTCCAATTTAGTTCCTCGACTTTGTGAAAATCCAAAATAATCCTTTATATAAAACTTATGATATGAAATTGATCCCAATCAAGTAGCTCAACTATACAAAATTGGTTGAAATGTACTTTTGAAAGGATCATTTTGGATCAATATTGTATAATTGAGGGCCTAAATTGAAGAAATGTGATTTTTTAAGATTAAATTGACCACATACAAATAATCTGGAGTCTATTTCGAAGTTTAACCTTATTCTCAAAGCCTTTAAGTTTAAATGACTTAACTTAATAAACTATCGTGTCAAGAATGGTTAAGTATGTTATATTTTGCATAATAAAATTTGTGCTGAAAATATATCTTAAAATGATTTTTTCAGCATCTCTCGATTATTGTCTTATATGTATCTGGACAATTCATTTGGAATAGGTCTCATCTTCTGTTTGAAATATTTGTATTCAAGTGGCAAACCATCTAGACTCACCACTTAGATTTTTCTGCTTTTTATCTCAATGCAGATCTTGTCGTGAAATGGAAAGTTTGAGTTTTACTTTTTTGAGAGATGAGTTTTCTTCATGTATCCGATGAATTTGTTATGAGGAATAAGCTATCCGAGTTTATTTTTTACGAGGACGAGTTTCTCAATCTTATTCGCCATATTTATTTCAAAGCTTTGTTGAGGTTAATGAGTTTGTTATGACCTCATCTCTTTGAAATAGTTAATAGATATATAGTTTTCTACAACAAATCACAAGAAGATAATTATTGTACTTGTTATTCATTTAAATTTCAAACTTTTTTTTGACGTCGGGCTTCTGAACCAGCCAGTTAAGCCGGCTAGTAAGGAGACTGGCTGTAGCAAGTCCGGGAAGGCCGGTCCAGAGTCGGGATCGAGCCGCGAATTGGAGGGGCAGCAATGCCACCAACCCTTCCTATATCTTTTCTTCTATCATTTTTTTGGAATTAGCGTTACATTATCTTTGATTGTTGTTTTCAGGTTCTGTGTAGAGTCTCCTCTTCCCTTGCTAGGGCCGTATCCGACGACGAGTAGTGCTTTGATTGTATCTCTCTCTGAGGTGGTGTTGTATTTTCTTCTATCTTCCTCCCTACCACGTCTCCCTCACCCTCTTTAGCCGCCGACCATCTCTTCTCATCCTTATTGTCCCTGCCACCCTCCTTTCCCTATAGTAGGCTTGCTGTCCCGCCCAACCAATCGCCCACCAGCACTCTGCCACTCCTCCTGTCTCCCTCCAACCCTCTAACAGCTGGCCGCACCCTTCTTAGCCGGCTGTCCACCTGTAAAGGCCCCAACCTGCATCCAACTGCCCCATACCGGCTGCTATCCTTGCGGTCTAGCTCATCCCACCATCACCCAACACCCCACCACTTCTTTCCCTGCAGCTTTCCTCACCATCTCACTACTCGAGCCCTCAAACCGCCCACTAAATCCCTTCCCAACCTATCATACAGCCAGCAGCCCTTTCCCTTACATCTTCGCCGACGCCACTACTGCCCTCGGATCTTCTCTTTCGGCCCTAGCCAGGGTGTTGTGTTTTATTCCCGTTTTGGGTCGTGTTTGTAACTCTAATTCATTTGATTAATAATGTTTACTTCCGTTCCGCTGTTTGAACTAGTTCTGGAATCACTTTTACAAAGAATTTACAAGAATAAATTTCAAGAAACACTTATTTTTCAAGGATATACTATCTTTAAGTCATTTCTGTTCTATTTTATTGGCATTGTGAAGCTTAATTTTAGAGTTGATGGGCTTATGGACAACTTGTTATTTTATAATGTATGGTCTTTCTTAAATTGAACCTAATATGGTAAGAATTGATTGTCAGTATTTGCATCCGGTTCTTTAAGAAAAGATTTTCAGCATAAAAAAAGTTTTCTCAAACATTTGAGTCATAATATTTTTCAACTCTTCTTATGCATTACTTGAGGTCTTTGAAAATAATAGCTTTTTGTGAAACCAACAATCGGATCTGCTTACTTACGCATGCATTACTTAAGGTCTCATGCATTACTTATGCATTACATATTGTTTTTCTTTTACTAATGGACGGTCTTTAAGTTTTTGTGATGAAGATTGCTGAGAGAATTTAGGGGGTTGTATAATTCATTTTTCTAGGTAAGTGCATTCACAATATGGGACACCATTCTGATAGTTTCATTTAATGATCTTTTATTTAGAAAAATCGTGATGATGAACCATACTACTATATCCGCTTTTGACTCTTTTGCTCACAGTCTACTAAATTCTTTGCAAGTACTAAAGAAATGAAATAGAACTACCACCAAGATCTCAACTTTGTTGAATTTATGTTTGGTTTGGCAGGCAGTCCTTAAACAATTTAGTGGGCGTTTTGGGCATGATTCAGCCCTCCATGATGAAGCTGAACTTAAATGCCTCCAGAATCTTCTAGTGCTATATAGTTCGACTAAAGCAGCAAAGGTAAAATGGCTATTTTTTATGCTTTTAACTGCTAAAAATGTGTTTAGGCCTGCACTAAGTTGACTGCTTATTTTATCTTTACTTCATTTGATCTTATTAGCATTTGCAACGAGATATTGCACGAGGAGTTGAAGCTCTAATTTCTGTTAGTTACAAGCAAATCGAAATTTGTAAGCAGATTTTAATCGCAGTCAAGTTATTTACAAATCTAAACTAATTCAATTTCCTATGTCTTCTGTAAATTTCTCCACAGTAAGAAAGCTAGCTCAAGATTGTTGCAAATATGGAGATGAATATCATCAAGCTTCTGGGTATGCTCTTGCCAGGGCTTGTAGTGATTTTGGCAATTCTCACAATTTAATGGAGTCAGAGCGGGAGAATCTGCTGGGGGTTCTTGGTGAACAGGTAATCTGGCTTATCAATAACGTTAGATAAATACTTTCGGCTAAGCGAAACACATTTTACAGACTTGGAGTTTCTTGAAATTATGACCATAGGTATAAAGTATGATGTCATTCTTGGGCCTGGAACGAAATACTGAAATGTTATGCCGGCTAAATATTTTTTGATAAATGCTTTTCTGCTCTTCCGAGATTTAGAAGCTGCTGTGCAGAGTTTGAATTTCTTATACAATTTTCTAGATGTCTCCTAATCCGATCTTTAAGACCCTTTCTCCTGCTCAATAGGTTTATGAACCTTTACGTGCAATGGTTATGGGTGCTCCATTAGAGGATGCTCGTCACTTAACTTATCGTTACAAGAAGATCAGTCAGGATGTTGAGGGTCAGGTATGATTTATTTGTCATAAATCCATTCATTTGATGCTACATGGCATGTATGGTAATTAATTGTGCCAGTTAGACTGCTGAAGTTCTAAAGCGGCAACTGAGGTCAAAGGAAGTTGCTTCTAGCGCAGAAAGTGCTGCTAAGCTTCGGAATGCAGAAATGAAGTTATCTGAGCTTAGAAGAGCTTTGTCAGCACTGGGAAGAGAAGCAACAGATGCTATGCAATCAGTTGAAGCTCAGCAACAAGAAGTGACTTTTCAGCGGCTTCTTGCAATGGTATTGCTTCTTTGCTGTAGAATGTCAAAGATCAGAGCAATTATTACATTGCTTTCTGCTTTATTTCTTTTCTTAAGGCATATACTTATTAGCCCATACGATGGTCTTGAGAAGGAAAATTGCTCGAGATGGAATCTGAGAAAGTGATTTCCCTTTTCCATAGGTTGCCAAGTTTTAATAAACATTATAGATCTAAGTCGATGAGAAATGTTCTTGCAGCTTGATATTACCATATTCAACATTGTCAACAAAATTCATGCGCTAGTTGATAAATTCTAAAAAAATTACCAAACTGTGTTGTATAAAAAATGAGAATTAACCAAAATGTATAGTGCATTAAATTAAAATTCAACAGCATTTAATAGGTTCATTCATAGGTAAACTGTAATTTCAGCAATTTCTATTTATAATAAAGAAAATATGTAAATCTGCAACTCCTTAAATATGAAGTTTGCACTCATTTTGCATATATTGTCCTCCATTTGTATGGCAAATGACAAAAGAATCTAAAGCAAATTGCTAGATAATGTTGAGGTGTTACTGGAGGATTATTGTGCTTTACCAAAAGTGCTACTGATATGCTATTAGACATTTCTGCCACACATTGTTCCGTACCAAGCGTAAGCTTCTGTGGCACCAAGGTCAAAATTTGTCCGGCTTCATATAGGTTTAATCTCCTGGATATCCTCCAGCATCCTTTAGTGTCACGCAATGCGCAAAATAAAATATTGAAGATATGCAAACGCTCTTTATCACTGCTCAGCCTAGTGGTAGTAACTATTATCAAGCTAGTCTAGCAGTTAACTGTATAAACCTTCTGTATAAAATAGGTTTGGAGAGGAATAATTCCATGATTTCATTATTCACATGCAAGGTAGATATATATAGGAAAAACAATCCCCCCTTATCTACAAACTTACCAAATATATCTAACATAAATTAAGAAACAAAATAATTCTAAAAATAAAAACAAAATAACATAGAATAGGAAGGGAATAAACTAATCAAAGGTTTTGAATATTGTCTCAATCAAATCTTCTAGGATTTGGAAGTGGTTGGCCAACCCACATAGAGAGAGAGCAGGATCTTCTCAGTTTTCTACACTCCCCCTCAAACTGGGTCGTAGATATTGTAGAGACCAAAGTTGGTATTGAATTCTGAAAGGGTACTTAAAGGAAGAGCCTTTGGTGAAGACATTAGCAACTTGTTGGTGTGTTAGGATGTAGCTTAGTTGTATTATTCTCCCAAGGACTTTTTTAGGGATGAAATCTCTATCAACTTAATTATGCTTGGTTCTGTCATGATATACATGATTCTTGACAATACTGATAACCACTTTGCTGTCACAAAATATATATATAGGTCTATTGGAGGTACATCCCAATTACCTTAACAATTTTTTAATCTAGATTCCTTCATAGATTTCAAAGGCAAGTTGAAATATTTATTTGTATCATCAGTTTTGAGGATATACATTTTACATTGGAATTGAATTTAAATCATATCATGAAAAGTTTGGAAAATTTAGGTTTTTTTCAGATTTCTCCTTCCTTAGGAATACTCAAGTGGTTGTGATTTTAGTGTGATTATCAATAAATGAAACAAACATTTGGCTACACTTGAGGTTTTCTGCTTTGAAAGTTCCAAATATTATTGTAGTTCAAGACAAAATAGTGTGAGAGTTTGTATCGGGTCATAGGACAACTATTTCTAATTTTTTTGGCAAGCGCAATGATAAAAAATTAATTTTTATTGATAAATAAATGAGTATGCAACTTAGAAACATAATTGAAGTTAGGATGACCTAGGCGACAATGCTATAGCAATACCTGATTTTTTACAGACATGGACTCGACAGACACAAAAATTTGATGCAAATATGGAGGTGTGATTATTTGTGTATTTAGAGAGATTTTTTTTTATTGGATATAAGTTTTGATGTATTTTAGCATTGCCGATCACCTTCCCTGACTCCATCACCTGAATTCACAAAAGTTTGCAAGACATGGTGATACATTTCATATTATGAGTAAGGTTACTGATTGAAATCAAATTGAAGCCAACCGTGGAACATATAAAACAGGGAAAAAAGTAATATTCTAAGAGAGCTCCACATTTCCTTCCCAACAATGTTAAGTGTGGTCCGTCTACAAGTCGTGTCGATTTAGATGTAGAAGCCCCTTGATATTTGACTAGAGATTGATGTCTCTGGTCATATGATCATAAGCTCTTGAATCTAAAATCCATATTTGAAATCTCACATTATCGGTAAGATGGGAGAATTATATTATATTGGTCTGTCACGAGTTGGTGTGATGCTCTGAATTACCTCCAAAGAGTTTTTTTAGTACTACAAGCTGCTGCTTGGTGAATGATTCAACTGACCTTTTGGATTTAGTAATAGTATTAGCCTTTTTCTCTTGATTTTTCCTTCTTTGTTTAGGTTTTCGGTCTGCAAGGTTTCCATGAAGTTTCCAATATTTGTCCTTCATATGCGCAATCTTTTTGCAATAGTTACATGTGGGGTGATTCCTTTTATGCTTTTAGTCATGGAAGGATTTATGAGTGTACAGGGTCGGGCTTTCAGTACTCCGTGAACGCCCATTTTAGTCAACATCAGCTTATTTATGTTCTCTTCTCTCCTGACTTTAGTAAAGGCTTCACGAGTTGAGTAAAGGGGCTTTGTTCTTATGATATTTCCTCTCATCTTATCCAATTCTTATGTTAGTCCTACTAGGAATTTGATGGTTCTCTTCTTCTCAATAATGATTTAAACGTCATGTGAACATTTTCACACATGTTTTATACATATCCAGTTGTAATTAAAACTGTCTAGGTTTTGAAATTTTGGGTGGCATTTAGCTCTCTGTGATGTCCCATTTCAGTTTCCAGGAGAAGAAGATTCAAAGAACCGAGTAAGAGACTGTGAAGGGTTGGGAAACCGAATAGATAGGGAGAGGAAACCAAACATAAGGGAGATGAAGCGAGAAGTCGAGAAATTTTAATGAACGGTCGGGAAGCCAAGGAGGTGAACTCGCTTATAAAATATTGAAGTTGACTTGTATCGGGTAGCATAAGAAGAAAGGAAGTGGGAGGAAGGGAAACTATATGTGCTCGACTGTACTCTAGTTGACCATTGTAGAGGAGAAGAGGAAGAAAGGAGAATAGCGGCATTGACAGCGTCACTGTCAAGCACAGGAGGCGGTGGCGACGGTGTAAAACAGAGGAGATGGCGTCAATTACTAGTTGCCAAATGGGAAGGAGTCACGACTATGTGAAAGAGTAGTGCGATTTGGATCCAGCTTGCAGAGAGGAAGAAGGGAGAATAAGAGATGAGTTCGTGCGGTAGGGAGAACTAAAGCCAGAGAAGCTCTCGTGCGTAGATAACCGGGAATTGCGTTGCTCGACTGAAAGGGCTCGACCGTCAGTAAGGTTATAAGGTGACTTTTAAAAGTTCTAATTAAAATATTATATTTTGAATATGTATATATACATATATATATATATATATATATATACATGATTAGATAAAGATAAATAATGGAACTTATATAAATTTAATGGCCAATTAAAATGATAACTAATTAAAATTTAATACTATGAATACCTATGTTAGGCTTCTAATTTTAGAATAATTGACGTCTAGATAAACTAATTAACAAATTAATCTACATCGAGGTGAGTACTTACATTCATTTGCTATAGTAATATTTTGTTTCTTTTCGACCAAATGCATTTATTGTTATTGTTATAGTACTACATACTCATGATTTAGGGTTCTATTAAATTTTTTTTATCTTGTAAGAATGACTTGTGTGCTCAGTTTTGTTTAAATTATCATAGATATTGAATCTTATGCAAGAATATTTATTCTATGCAAATAAAAATGAAATATTTATTAGTAAAAATTGATATTTTTATTGTATGCTTGTATATGCATGATTAACTATTATGGAATCACCCCTTTATGGCACATATATGGAAAATGATTTTGATATTGAAGTATCTTAATTGATAGAAATTTTTAGAGGTGACGCTTGTACAAATATAGAATGATATATATATATATATATATATATATATATATATTGCATAAAGGAGTTGCGAGTGTCTCCATACATGTT